GGGGCGGTGAAGCCCGGGGGCGGGCGGGCCCCGCTCCTCACCCCGCGGCCGGGACGTGGTGCAGCCGGGGGGAAGCTGAGGAGAAGCGAGAGCGGTCAGGTGCCGCGCAACGCCTGGCTAAGTCATGAAGACTCGTCGGCCTGGTAAAAGCGAAACAGCCCTCCTGCGGGAAGAGATTGTAAAACAGTACGCGGTATTAAAGAAAATAGGTCGGTGTCGGCCTTTACTGCCTCTCCCAACACGGTCACTGTGAAGCACGGGATCGTGCCAGCCGGAGGCAGATGCACAGCAAATAAAACTGGTGATTTCTTCCTGCAAGGCCCAGCCGTGCCAGTTCCTCGCCACAGGATGTTCTGGATGTTAGAAGCTTTTGTGAGGTCAGAGGGAGGCTGAACAAGTTAACAGAAATGCAGAGGCTTGTCAAATACACAGGAACTACCCTGGGCATTCATGAAGATGCAGAAACTAAATGTTGGTAGCATAATTCATTAACAAGCTGGAAATGGACAAAGACTGGATGATTAAAGGTGTACTGCATGCAGGGGATTGTCTTCAGATTTCTAGAAGCTTTCGTGAGGTCAGAGGGAGGCTGAACAAGTTAACAGAAATGCAGAGGCTTGTCAAATACACAGGAACTACCCTGGGCATTCATGAAGATGCAGAAACTAAATGTTGGTAGCATAATTCATTAACAAGCTGGAAATGGACAAAGACTGGATGATTAAAGGTGTACTGCATGCAGGGGATTGTCTTCAGATTTGCATTGATTTAAGCCATTCTTAAAGTCTACCAGACCTTAGCTATAACTCTTCTTCATGAGCTGTTTGTATTTAAAATGACACCCTGGGCCAACGCTCAACACTACTAGTTGAAGTTTTTATCCACAGTAGTATCTATATGGGCAAATACGTGCTATATACCTCTTGCTGGTGTGCATGTATTCACAAAGGATACACTGCATGCTTTTATTTCTTATTCCTCCTCAATATTGGAGTCCCAAGACATGAAGGATTTGTAGGGAAAAAGGGTGGGACAGCGGGTTGTGATAATTCACATAGACTGGTGAAGAGGAACAGTTACAGGTATTTTTTCTTCTTTCCAGTTCTAGGAATAGGTGGCTTAGGCTGAAACACCAAGGCGATATCCTTATTCAGGTAAAACAGTGAAATTATTTGAGGAAGCAATTTGCCTTTGGGTATGGGGCATTGATATGTTTGCTTTACCAGTAAAGAAGACTGTTTATGATGGGGCCTGAACTGCCTTTACTTTCTGATTGAAGAAGCAGTACTGGAACCGCTATATTCCCGGAAAGGTGAAGGAGAAAAGAAGGTGGATAAATGGTGAAAGGCTTCTGAGAATGAAAATGTGAGCTTGGGGCTGTTTCCTACTGAAGAACTGGATCATTAAAAGCATGACCAGTTCCTTACCAAACTCATAAAGAGATATGTGTGGGTGTAGAAGGGCGAGCAAAAAGTAACAAACCATCACCACGTGTGTGCTGGTGGTGATTATAGTGGGAGAAATGGACTCTATGAGGAGCCTGATGTGATGTGTGCCCCAGCACTTGGCAGGTGGTATTGTCACGTTAAAAAAAGAAAAAAAAAAAAAGTTGGTAATTATTCTAAGCAGTTTGAAATGGGCATAACTTGTTGCTAAACTAGACTGCTGATAACTTCTCGCTGGGGTGAACTATTCTGTAATGCATAGGGTAAAAAGCATGTGGAATTGGTCCGTAAAAAATGTCTTGATTTAGTGTTCCAAATATTGGAAGATCAGCTTTTGCGGCAGTTGACGGAATGCAAAAGTGAACCTGGGTGCTGTAACGCTGGTCAGAGGAAGTCATCTTGTGGGACTTCCGGTGTTAACAAAAACCAAACAAAATGCAGGACCATTTGTTTCTGTTTTGGCACTTAATTCTTGGAAATTTGTCATGTGTCATTCCTTCATTTTTGCCAGCGGGTGTCACTAAAAACTGTGAGCTGTTACACTCTGTTTTTTGAAGTTGAAAACTGTGGGCCTAGCCAAGGCCCACGGTTCCTTTAATTAGGACCAGAATTTACTAAAAATGTGAAGTGTGCAGAATACGAAGTAGACGGGTAAAACTGCCGTGGGTCTGTTTCTGATGTGCTGAAGGATAAAACAGACATGCAGCAATAAATACCTTTCCTGAAAAGTGGCTATTGTTGAAGACAAGCTCGGCAAGATAATTAGAAGTACTCCGGCAGTAAGCAAAAAGTACGAATTTGTAAACAGGATGATGTTACATTCTAAGCCAGAAGAAGATCCTGAGAGAGAGACATAGACTCGCAACATAGAGTTATGCCGTCATAGGATCCAGCAAAAACTACCTTAGTGACACTTACTCCAGTATTTCTCTCAGGAATGCAGCTCTAGGTTCAATCTCTGCGTGCAGGAACCCCGAAGCCATTGGGCTACTCTCCTGTGATGGAAGCCTGAGGCAAACATCCATCTGCATAGCCGATGTTAATTTTCACAGAGCCTCAGGCACCAGCCCAAAGAGGATTTATCACTTTCTTCATTTGCTCTAGTGGGAGCTGAATTATGCATGAAGATGTGATTGGGGCAGGAGGGGGGGAAGAAGGCTTCTGTTAGCAGAAGAGAGGTCGAATAAAGTCATAACAGTGCCACCATCTTCTTTGCTGTGGACCCAACTAACACCTTTCTAGACCTGACTTTAAATAGCCAGCTTGCCAACTGGACTTCTGCAGTAAGAGGTACTCTGGTCACCGTAGCTCTGCCATTCTCATAATAAATCTTGAACTTCTGAAAGTCTTCAGAAATACAACATTCTCTCAACTCGTTTTAGAGAGATTTTCCCCATTTTCTGTCAGTCCTTGGAACGACCTTAGAACAAAGACCTCCTTGTAATGATGCGAGGTCTTTGTTTTTCGTGGGCCAGGAAATAAGCCAGACTTACGCTGTTGCTGTGGTTTTACGTCTCACGGCCCAGCTTCCCCATGGACAATTCCGCGCTCGCGTTTTATTGCACTCACATCGCTGTCAGTGTCAACTGCTTGAACTTCCCATCAGCCAGCTCAGGGGCTAATCTAATAATGAGGTTAAAATAAAGGGGGTTTGGGTTTTTTTTTTCCTCTGCTGGAAACACAGGAAAGGGGCAAGTCTATCAAATTAACATCAACACAAGAAACCATCTCTGCCACATTACATTGGCTAACAGGACGTGTGTCCTGCTGACTCCTTCAACAGGCCGTGAGTTCTGTTACAGAAGTACATCCCTGATGCCTGCCCTAGCCCCACAATCGATGGAATTCAGAATTTTTCCATATCTGGCGTAATTTGTCCCAAATTTCCAGGTGTGGTATCTGATACTTTCCCAATGGATAAAGTGTACACAGCATGACTGATTTTTCTCTTCACTCCTGCATTATGTAGGAAGCCGTGAGTTTTGGAGGGTGAGGTTAATGTAAGAGAGGTAGTGCAAAGCTATACTAATGCCATCATCTCTGGGGACCTAAACAATAACCTTTCTGGATTGGACTTTTAAAATTTCTTACATCTTAACTATAATCCTATAAATCACATATCTGCGAAATACAGCAATTATTATTTTTGCTTTTGCAAACAGTCCTGTCTATGAGTTTTACTCTGATCAACAAATTTTTGTTTGGTACACAAAAAAGCAAAGCTACTGTTCTGCACAACATCAGCCAGCCTGAGCATATAAGAGAGGACTTGCCATATGTCACTTAGAGAAAAACATAGACATACCAGAACAATGCTAACTTAAAACCATAATTTTTCTCCTAAAATGAGTTTTCATTAAGAGTAATTTTGATAAAGTCATGGAAACCTGAAATGCTGTCTTTTCACATCTCTTTTGGAGACAAACCTGATGATGCAGAATCTTCTGTGATGACTTCCACTGTACCAAAATCAGAAAGTTCAGTCTTATGAGAAATCTGGGATGAGGAGAGGAAAAGAAAGACTGTTTCTCTTGTCTTCTTCTGGAAGTTAAAATCTTCCAGTTTCTTCTCTGCCTTTGGGCGCGGATCATACTTCAGAGGCATTACTCTATTACAAGTGGCAGCTTGCCAAAAAATCCCCTTGTCGTTTACACAGCACTGTCTCCAGGGTACAAAATCTGTGCTAATGCCTAACAGGGAAGAGAGTACATTTCCTCCATTTTTTTCAGCTTGACTTTGGGACTACCTAAAGCAGCCTCTTTCAAAGACTGTTTATATCTGTGCCAGACACGAGCCCGCAGCAGGAGCCACAGGATTCACACAGCCTCCTTGCCCTTTTCACATCACTTTCTTTGAAGGTGCCAGCCTTCTCGCCCCTGGCTGTGCTATTCCAAGAAGAGACGTGCAGCTGGAGGCACTGTGAGTGAGAACTCCTGTCTTGGGGTGTAAGGAAACATAAGAAGTCATTTCTTTCATATGATTTTGTTAGTGGAATAAAGAAAAGCTTAATTAGCCTTGTAATACTCTGGCGTTTTAACTTTACAATGTTTGTAAACCAGTTAATACGTTAGTCCTAGCGTTAAAAAACAGGCATGAGTTCAGACTGGGATTTATCATACGTGCGAAGCTAATGCTTGACACTGTCAAGGAAGAAGTGTAATGTTAAAGGTAATATTTATTCTGGACAATACAACTGGCATAGGCATCTTACAAATACATATGTAAGTTAGATGGGTTTGGGATAGAAGATATGACATCAAGCTGAGTGATGTGGTTGACACACCAGAAGGACGGGATGTCATCCAGAGAGACCTGGACAGGCTGGAGAGGTGGGCCTGTGTGACCCTCATGAGGTTCAACAAGGCCAAGTGCAAGGTCCTGCACCTGGGTCGGGGTAACCCCCGGTATCAGTACAGGCTGGGGGGAGAAAGGATCGAGAGCAGCCCTGTGGAGAGGGACTTGAGGGTACTGATGGACAAAAAGCTGGACATGAGCCAGCAATGTGTGCTGGCAGCCCAGAAGGCCAACCGTACCCTGGGCTGCACCAGGAGAAGCGTGGCCAGCAGGTCGAGGGAAGTGACTCTGCCCCTCTACTCTGCTCTGGTGAGACCTCACCTGGAGCACTGCGTCCAGTTCTGGAGCCCTCAGCATGAGAAGGACATGGAACTGTTGGAGCAGGTCTAGAGGAGAGCTACAAAAATGACCTGAGGGCTGGAGCACGTCTCCTATGAGGACAGGCTGAGAGAGTTGGGCTTGTTCAGGGTGGAGGCCCCATCCCTGGAAACATTCAAGACCAGGTTGTATGGGGCTCTGAGCAACCTGATCCAGTTGAAGATGTCCCTGCCCACTGCAGAGGGGTTGGGCTAGATGACTTCTAGGGGTCCCTTCCAACCCAAAACATTCTATGATTCTATGATTCTATGGTAAGGTTTAATTAAAGGAAGGCTATTTTCACAAGATTAAATCTTTCTTATCTAACACTTGTTGTGTTCTGGTCAAGCCAGAGAGGTTTGTATGGCAACTGTTGGGAGTTTTCAGCTCCTTGGATATGAGTTTCGGAAAGAGATGAGCCTCATTAGAGCTCCCGGAGCTCGCTGCCTGCCCCGGGCCGGCTTGGCGGGCGGAGCGGGGCGGTT